GACGCGGCACTGCCCGACGACTGATGCTGGAAGCAACGAGACGCTGGCCTCAGGACGCGACGCGATGCGGCCGGGCAGCCGGGGCAGTCTGGGTCATTCCGGGCAGACGTGTTTCAATGTCATTCCGGGTCATTCCCAGGTTCCCGGGTCAACCCAAACCCGACCTGGTTTTTCAAACAGGTTAGTTTTCCGGGCCCAAACCAGGCCCGCTTCGGGTCAAACCCGAATTTTAGGGTCAGGTTCCGGTTGGGTTTTCGGGTCGGGTCCAATATTGACAGCTCTAACAGGTGATTGCGACTGGTTAGGAAATAGCATACGAGGGTGATGGGCTACTCATCTAGCGATATCTTGAGTAGATATGGAAGGCATCGAATATTGATCCTATGATTGTCGCAATAGATTTGGAAGAGTTGGCATGAGATGGACAATGTATTATGAAGCCATAGATGAAGACCAAATGTGATGGCAATTGACTCTTGTGTGATTAAGGTCTTAAATAAAATCATTGTATTAAAAATCATGAGAATGGTGAATAATAACAATAATAGATGGGAGTTTGCAATCACACAAATAGTGAAGGCATGGAGATGAATGTAGAATCGTGCTAGTGACTTCTTGTTTGTATGCACCTATAGCAATATGGAAAACAAAAGACAAAAACACTAGCCAAAAGATGAAAAAGAGGCACTTTGCATCCTTTTAGCCTTGGCAAAGCAGATGGAGATCAAGTAAAGCACAACTGGTGAGAACATATCTCATATTAAACATTACAAGCTATTCAATACTTCCAAAATAATGAAAATAAGAGATACAATAAGGGAAAATATTCATTAATTCATCTCATATACATTGATCTCGCTAATGGGACCTACTTATAAAATATAAACTCTCATACTAAGGCAATTCTAAGTAACTAAAATGGTTCTAGATAACTAAATAATTACAACTTGATGTTATGGGTTTATTTACAATTATTCCTCGGAAGTGAAGTTGTGGAGAGGGGCATCTAAGTAACATAATACTGAGTAAACTTGCACATACAAATTCAATAGAGAAAATTAAAAAACCTCATATAATGTAACATCATAGGCATTGAGAAAAAAGCAGTACATATAGACTAATCCAGCAATTCAATATGATAGTTATGATGAAATGCATGATCAGGAGACTCAATTGTCATTAGTATAGTATAGTTTAGTTCAACTTAGTAAGAATAACAATAACAACTTTGGAGCATTTATGTGCTACAAATACCATTCACATGAACATTTCGAAACCAAAATAACGGTACCTTGTGAAGGTAAAACTTCACATCCCCCACTTTTACAGTGATATCTGTCGCCAATTCAGTAGCTACAAACCTGCAAATACAAAACTTACAAGTTCAATCTCACCAAAAACAAAGAAGAAGTCATATTCCCCACACAAATAATACATAAAATCAAACTCATATTCAGAAACATCCATTAAGTTTCAAAATGAACCCACTGTATGCCAATTTCATTAATTGTGAAACTTTAAATTCTTATTTGGTTTCTTTGAAGAAGTTTGATAATACAAGATAGGACCAAGAACAGTTTGCACCTCTTTGTTATAATAATTGCAACTTAAAGGAATAATCCCTCGCAATTCCCTTTCTTCTACAAATAATTCACAATCATAATGAATTTTGCAGCGTCCAAATAGTTTTGGAAAAGGACATCACAATGGCATAAGGCTCTCTAATGGAGGAGAAATGATTATGTGCATTCACCGAACGCCGTCCGAAGGTGAATCAGGGCGTGCCATGTCACTTTTTTGCTATATACTGGGTGACGTGGTATATCCTGATTCGCCTACGGACAGTCTAGTGACCGCATAGAATAATTTTCCCTAATGGAGGGTCTACAAGGCGTATTTGCCTTTACCCCTATGTTGTAATAAGTGACCTTCAACTCCAAATTACGGGAACCTAACTATGGCTTCACCATTTTCTTTTTGCGTTTTAAATTTATGGAAAATAAGTTCATTTTATTCTCTCTCCAAAAAATCTGAAAGAACCACATAAAACAACATTTCACTGTTTTGGAAGCCAAGCATAAGAGCAAAAGACAATCTGCTATACAATTTCCTACAGTATTCAAAATTGGAGAAAAGAAGGCCATCGAATTACTAATATTGAAAACCAAAATCACAATAGAAATTATGTTCCTTTAAAAGTTAATTTTGAATCACTTGTAAAATTCTTTTCAGGTAGCTCGTGGAAGTGTTGATTTTCTTGATCAATCATAAACTGAAAATAATATATATAAAGATTTGTGAAGCCAGTATTGGTGTACTACACTAAAACAAGTACATGCATGCCTTCTCAGTTAGTTACCCTATAATAAATTTGACATGAACAAACTACAGGGTTGTTTAGCAACAAGTAGGATTTAATTTTAATAGGATTTAGTAAATACTAGATATGCTAAATCCTGAAAACTATTTGGCAACATAATCCAAAATTTAAGACGGTTGGTTCATTTAAAAATTAAAAATTAGCTTTAAGTTCTAAGTATCAAAGCACTTAGTTGTTAATTAAATAAGTAGTTGATATATAATGAATTAGTTAATAATTTTTTGAAATAACTAATTATTTAATTAATACGCCTGATTAAAATTTCAATAATTATTTAATTGTTATTTAATTTTTAAAATGATTAATTGTATAATTAATTATCTCATTAGGCAGTTAAATATTCTACTACTCATTAATTACTTTATGATCATTCATACTATTAATTATATATTTTAATAATTTATATTTTAAATTATATTTATTAAGCTAAATAAATTAAATTTAGATTACTAACTATACAACCCGCCCGCGATAAGAAGTTAAGTCTGTTGAACGCACGCACTAAGCTTAAGTTCTTTCTTCCTTTTGTGCGCTTCTTCGGCCAAATCCAATAAATCTGTCAAATTCCAGGATTTAGAAAATCCAAGATTTAGGCCAAAATGAGCTAACTGCGGATTTATCTCTCTGTGAGATTTAGGGGACTCTCAAATATCATTTGGCAAGATTTATGCTAAATCCTTCTCAATCCTACCCAAATCCCATTGCCAAACAACCCTTACATGTTAAGAAATACTAACTAATCAAAAGCTACAAAAAGAAAATCTTGCCGAGAGAGAGAGAGAGAGAGAGAGAGAGAGAGGGGGCAATGTGATCATTCTTATCAATCCCACACATGTCACATAAGAGATCAAAATAAGGGACCCACAAAAGCTTAATTATTTTTTCTCAAACATCCAAATCTCATTCTATAATCACAAGAAAAGAAAATCTTCTTCATTTTCTTCTCCTTTAGTAACTCTGAATACCAAGAACATTAAGCTCACATCAAGCAGCAGTTGTTTTGGAGTAAAATAAACCCAACACACTTGATATGCATAACTGCACATATCATGAAACCACTGAGAAGTATCATGATAAACAACCATCACCATCACCATCACCATCCTACATTAAGGACAAGTTATCAGGTCTCTAAATGGAATCAAATGGAAGGAATTAAATCACTGAAACAAGAACACTTAGGAGACTAATCTCAAAGCTATATAGATCAAATTATCCCCCAAAAAAACATTCAAAAGTTCAGGACTTTCTGTTTTTGTTTTTTTATTTTAATTTTAAACAATATGTTTGGTTTATATTTTTAAGTTGTTTTTGTTTTATTTTTAAAAACAAATCAAGCAGTTTTTTAAAATCCTCAAAAACAACTTTTAAGTGTTTTTTTAGGTATTTTTATTTCTTTAAATAAAAACCATCCCGGCCACCGGTCACCACTACTAGGCATCATTATTGTCTGCCATCACCTTCTTATACAATATAACAATATCAAGCCTTTGTCCCACTACGTGGGGTCGGTTACATGAATCATTTTTCTCCATTCAGCCATTGTGTCCATTTAAAAGTCAAATTTTCATTTAAATCTAATAAAGAAAGATCATTTCTAATATTTTCTCACCAAGTCTTTATAGGTCTACATCTACCTTTCTTAACATAAGTCAATAGTGACAACAACATATAAGGCATGTTTGATCTACGCATTTTCTAAATAAATCCATATCCCCATTTTGATTAATAAAGTATGAAAATATTAATCTAGCACAAGAACCATAGAACTATAACTACCAAATCAACATGCAAATTAGCTTCTAATACCTGATAGTGCTCCCATCAGAGTGAAAAGCATCCGGCCTCAATCCAAGCTTCATATACTTCATCTTGAAAGAAACTTACAGACCTCTTCTCAAATCAAGATTGTTTAATGAAAATGGGACTTCCGAATCTTTACATGTCAAAAAAGATGGAGTCTTTGAAGTATTAATAGAGTCAGGAAGGGAGACAGGCGAGGGAAATTACTTGCTTTTAGGGTTTAAATGGGTACTGAATTTCACTTCCTTCTAGGTCTAAGGGAGAGAGATTAGGGTTTCCCTAATCAGAGACAAAGCCCAGGGAGCCCGGAGCCAAAAAAGGATTTAGTCACAGCAGCAAAAGCCTCTAGATTCGTGGTATTATAAGACGAACAGAATGCCCACAATCACCAAACAAATCACGCAAAAACAAACTCCAATTTCTTATTATTTTCTTCTCTCTCCCGTGCTTCTATTCGTTATGCACTTCTCTATGCTCTAGCAGAATCCAAACTTCCCCTTAGTAATCACATCGCCTGCAAATCAAAAGACAATAAGCATATTTTTAGCATGCCGATGGAAGATTAAGGAGACCAAATCCATAAATACTAATCAAAATACTCTCGGGGCAAAAACTATAACCAAAAAATGGCGACAAGGAGCACTGAAAACCACAAAAATAGGCGTGTAGAACTCGGAGAAAATGCAACCCTTGAACGCCGTTCGAAATGTGAGGAAAAACACACTGAAAATTCGCAAAACGAATCAAACGAGGAAGAATGTCGACTTAAACAAACCTCGAAGCCAAGCAGGAAGTCGCAAAAACCCAACTCAAAATGAAGTGAGTGAGAAAAGCGAGGGGAGAGATGAGAACAGAAAAAGAGGAAATTGACCGCCTCGAAAGAAAGAACCTTTAACCTTACTACTACATCTGTAGTCCTGTAAGCAAGAACAGAGCAAGCGACTCATGATGGCCTTCTCTCCAGCCATTGCTCCTCTTCTCTGTCAGTCCTAGCTCCTTTATATGAGTGCCATGCCACGCTCTCGCCAAAGAAAATAAAAAATATATATACATATATTAAAAAATTAATACTAAAAACTCAGTGAAAGATGGTTATCAGTTCCAATGAATCTACCAGTATCTAAACAAACAAATAAATAAAATTTCTGAACAAATTCTGAACTTGAATGATAGAAGCGAAACAATTCTCTTTCAACCCTCTGAAATCTGTACTTCTCACTGAGAACGAACCTTGTTTCCCCATGCTTTTTTTTTTTAACCGTTATCAGATTTTTGTCATGAAGAAGATTATTATTGCGTAATAACGAAAGTGCCACTGCGATAAGTAGGCCAAATCGTTGTGTATGCGTCAGGCGGGGTTTGGCGAAGTTAACGGTTTATTAGGCCACCTCCAACCCCCAATGCCCGTCAATATATTGTGAAAATTCAATTATCTAATAAGTCAGTAGTATCGAGTATGTTTAGATGAATAAACTTGGGCTACTCGATCCATTGACAAGTGTTGACATGAGGGGGATGTGCAACTGGCAAGGTAGTTGACGTTGTCGACAACTTATTTTAAGGCCTCATATCGCCTTATAAGATAGAGGAGAGCAAGTTGTTATAGCAGGAAGGAAAAGCTCTAAGTTCAATGGTTATGCAAGACAAGTTGAAGACCTTATGATTATGCATTTTTCTATAGTTATGCTTGCTATGTATGATTAAAGATGGACACTTTAGAAGAGAACAAGTGATCATGATGGTTGTATTCTCATGTAGCAGGTGAGAAGTTGCTTGCATAGAGAGTAGCATATATTGATCATTTGGGCGAGTTATCCAGTTGTTCCAAGTGAGTAGCTCCCCTTGACCATCGGGTAGGCCCCAATACTGGGTGAGTTCCTTCATCTCAATATGTAAGGCACTTATGAAGGTATATGTAAGTATACCTTTGGTTTCTCGATTCACTTAATCCTTTAATGGTGACAATGATAAGGACAAGAGAATAAAAAATGATAAGAATTTAATAGGGCATAATAACAACTGATGAGAAAGTGGAGCATGAGTACAAGGCCTAAATGGGAATTGAAGGTCATCGACTTACTATCTACAGGTCAACCCAACGACATCATTCCATCATAAGGGTGGATCATATAATTAGAGCAGGTGGTAGGGTGATTTAGTCTCTTGGAGAAAATGATGACCTACAAGGCAAGATGGACAAGATTGGTAGTTTGTGGTGGTGTGACCTTGGATGAGATTGTTGAATTGAGGAAACATGTTGCGTCCTTGAGGCCGAAGGCCTAAATGGGAATTGAAGGTCAGTGACTTACTATCTACAGGTCAACCCAACGACATCATTCCATCATAAGGGTGGATCATATTAGAGCAGGTGGTAGGGTGATTTAGTCTCTTGGAGAAAATGATGACCTACAAGGCAAGATGGGCAAGATTGGTAGTTTGTGGTGGTGTGACCTTGGATGAGATTGTTGAATTGAGGAAATATGTTGCGTCTTTTCTTATGGTGACGAGTAGCTCCGTGCCATTTCAATTTTTATTTTAACTTTTTTTTCTGTTTCCCTTGTAAAAATCATGTACTTAAGAAAATCTCCATGTTTAGAAGACATCTTTAATTTATATATATTCTTCTCCTTTACATAGTACTTTATTTTTTCCATGTTAAGGTAAGTACCCCATTTTATAATTATTATAACAAGAGCTTTAGCATAGTAATTGTGGTCTGAGTGACGAGTGAAATACTTGAATATGTTTTATATTTTGCTTTATTATGGCAAATTTGTTCATATTATTTAATAACGAATAGTAAATTGAATTAAGGAAATTCATCATGATTTGGCAACCTCATTGTGGGTTGAATTCCACGAGGAGGCTAGTAACAAGTGAGCTTACATTTGGCTATTGTGGGAACCTATTTAATAGGGTGAGTGGACAAACAACCACCAAATATATTGGTAATGATGTAGAAGGAAGGTGCAATTTACTCATTTAGTTCAAATTTGATTGGTTCCTCAATATGCATGTTGTGTTCTTTATATTTAAATGTGTCGTTCAATAGGACATACCACAACCAAAAAGATGGGTTTTTTGCCCCAGATATTTGGGGCGGTTTTAAAATCACTGTGAATTCCCCCTTTCCACTGCGGTTTAAACCGCTACTATTCGCAACAGTCTTAACCGGTGCAAATAGCACCGATGTTAACCGCTGCCGAAATTCCTCATACGTTATAGTGGTTATAACCGCTGATATATTCAACATTCGACACTTCTACCCCGCCGATCCTGAAACTAGTGCTGAATGTTGTTGTAGTGCATTGTAATCATGGCAGATATCCAACGGTTATAAAATCGTTATAAAAATATTAGTGGAGGGTAAAATCGTCGAGAAAAGTCAAAATTTGTGCTGCGAAAGCCTGATTTTTTTATAGTGTGCGTGCGTGCGAATTCAATAATAATTTCTTTCCAACTTCTTTTTTCTCCTAGATCGAGTGTTTTTTAATAGCTATGGTTGCTCTTTACAAAGGTGCTGAAGCCGTTGGTGACTATGCCACCATGTAATCTTTGAAAGTTCCATAGAGAAATGTGAATTTAACATACTTTTCATATTATTGATCCAATGCTAATGTCAAGTGAGGATGAAAGAATAAACCTTCTTTTTTAGGAGGAAATTTGTGTCACTTGTGTTCACTTCCAACTAGGATTGAGACTCCAATTTTGCCTCAAATTGATTTGGTTGAGAGAAGGGTACTGATCAAGAAATAAAGATTAAATAATTTTCATATAAGATATACTACTTAAATCACATCAACATACATCTTAACTTCATTGGCTATGCTCTTTTATAATTATAAGTATTGATACGTCGTAAAAACATTATCTTAAACAAGTGCGAATCTCGATGCAAAATCAAGTTGGAAACTTCAAAAATTAATTCGGAGACCATCCAAACTCCGATTTCAGAAAACTTAAAGTCGAATTGAGTGTCTCGGAAATACGAACCCAACGACACCAAATTCGACTCAATCCGAGCCCAAATGGATCCAAATCAAGGACCCGAAGCGCTGTTGGCAGGTTCAAACCACAAATTGGATTACCAAACGTTTTTCAAACATAACAAGCTTATACTTGAATCGAGCGGATCGACGAGACAAATCCAACTATCCCAAGATCACCGAATTCCGACATCATTAAGGTCTTCAAATGTCTAAAGAACGGTGTATGATCAAGGGATTCAACATCGGCCGTTCATCCGACCACTCCCCATTCACCCTTGATCTCTCACCTATTTACGGACCATGCCACTCCAGAAATCTATAAATAGAGCTCCCTCTCCTTTTGAAAAGGGAGCCCGAAGCCTAAGGAAAAAAGAGAGAGATCGGAGATCGCTATTGCTTCCTAGCCTCCTCGACCATCGCCGGAGTTTCGCCGGACCACTGCATGATGTCGTTGCTCCGCTGGACCACCACCTGAGGCCCTCACCTCCTCCGGACCACCGCGTGACATCGAACCTCCACCGGACCACCGTATGACGCCGTTTCTCCGCCACCAATTGAGGCCCTCACATTCGTCGGACCACCGCCTGACGTCGTTGCTCCGCCGGACCACAACTTGAGGCCCTCACCTCCGCCGGACCACCGCATGACTCCGTTGCTCTGTCGGACCACCACTTGAGGCCCTAACCTTTGCCGGACTACCGCCTAACGCCGTTGCTCCGCCGGACCACCACTTGAGGCCCTCACCTCCGCCGGACCACCGCCTGATGTCATGGCTCCGTCGGACCACCACCTGAGGCCCTCACCTCTGCCAGACCACCGCCTGACGCCGTTGCTCCACCGGACCACCGCCTGACGCCGTTGCTCCACCGGACCACCACTTGAGGCCCTCACCTCCACCGGACCACCGCCTGACGTCGTTCCTCCGTCGGACCACCACCTGAGGCCCTCACCTCTGCCGGACCACCGCATGACTTCGTTGCTCCACCGGACCACCACCTGAGGCCCTCACCTCCACCGAACCACCGCCTGACACCGTTTCTCCGTCGGACCACCACTTGAGGCCCTCACCTCTACCGGACCACTGCCTAACGTCGTTGCTCCGCCGGACCACAACTTGAGGCCCTCACCTCCGCCGGACCACTACATGACACCGTTGCTCCGCCGGACCACCACTTGAGGCCCCCACCTCTGCCGGATCACTGCCTGACGTTGTTGCTCCGCCAAACCACTACTTGAGGCCCTCGCCTTCGCCAAACCACCGCTTGACATCGTTGCTCCACCGGACATCACCTGAGGCCCGGACTTCTGCCAGACCACCATCTGAGGCCCGGACTTCCACTAGATCCCTACCTGAGGCCCGAACCTCCGTCGTACCACCACTTGAGACTCTATGCTCCAACAGGCCACTACCCGAAGCTCGGACTTTCGTCGGACTGTCACTTGAGGCCCCGAGCTCCACCAGGCCATCACCTGACGGCCAGAGTTCTACCAAAGTACCATCCTTCTACTACGGTCTTCCAGACTCCTATCTCATGCCGACTATGGTCCTCCCAACCTCCGTCGCCTACTATGATCACTCCGACCTCGATCACCAGACAACGGTCTTTCAGACTCCTATCTCCTGCCGACTATGGTCCTCCCGACCTCCGTTGCCTACTATGGTCACTCCGACCTCCACCAGATAACGGTCTTTCAGACCCCGGTCTCCTGCCAACTATGGTCTTCCAGACTCCTATCTCTTGCCGACCTCTGTCGCCTACTACGATCCTTCCGACCTACATCGGCAGACAATGGTCTTCTAGACCCCAATCTCCTGCCAACTATGGTCTTTCGGGCTCTCGTCTCGTGCCAACTACGGCCTTTCTAACCAAACAAACATGCATATTATTGTAACTCCCACCATGTAATGCGCTCT